CTCTCTCTCTCTCTCTCTCTCTCCTCAATCGAGTACGTTTAATTTCTCTGTTACGATCTTTCTTCTGCTCCATTTTTATGTAGTTTTGCGTAGGTGTGCAATTAACCGTACGAAAACTATTTCTCGATTTTTGCTCCCGTTCACTTTACCGGCCGACGACGCGATTTTTTTGAACGATCAACAATCAAACGCAACAATGGAAAACGTATACGTTTTGGTCGACATTCAAAAGTGAAACCGAGACAACTCGTAGCGTCGTAGTCGAACCTAGTCGAACGATTTCGGTCGGTATCGCATCGTCGGAAGACAAGGAATATCATAGTTTAGTTGGGTTCGAGAGACCGGGAAATGTTGGTTCGAATGGTTTGTATGACGATGAATTCGCTCCCGCGAAATCCAAGTATCGCGTGGACCTATTCCTCCGTTTCTTTATTCCGGTTTGAGTCGATGCCATTGGACGATCGTTTGCCGTGGTTTCGTGATCATATCTTGCCAGTGTTTCGTTTCGCTGGCACCGCTGCCGTTCTTTCCTAGAAAAAGAATAAGGTTTGCGACGCGGTACGGATCTGGTTACCGAATTCGCAGGGGTACCGCGGTGTCTAGCGTATCAACTGTTCAGCCAGCTAAGAGTGTACGCCTCTCGTATCCGCGGTCGATTTACCTGCCAGTTGAATCCGGCCGATCAACTCGTTCCTTCCGATATTATCAAAGTCCATCACCATCACGTCCAACGAACATTCTCGAATTTTTTCCCAAGGTACGTTGAAAGAGAACGCTTCGTTGAACACCGGATTCAGGGTGCACTTGAATATAGGGGTTTTTCGTTTCTCGATTCTCTTGTCACCGAATTGCAACCAGACTTTCACGTACGGATCTGAGGAAAGAGAACGCCGGTGACGGTTGCCACTCGACAATTTCCAATCGTCGTTGACAATACGCAGAGTAAGCGTCGATTTCGGTCTCACCTGATTTTCCGTTTATATCTTTCGCTTTGAGATTTCTGGCTTTTAGAAGCGTCAACGTTAACACGGAATTACTCGGATGATAGCACAACGAGCACAACAATTCCCCGCATTTATCTTTCGCCGGGGGCTTCAAGGCTTTCCAAAACGACGGTTTCTCCGAAAAGTCGACCTACGGCAATCGAGTCGAAGCGCGAAAGGTCTCGTGAAAGGTGTCGAAATCGTAGTCGAAGCGTTTCGTAAGGAAACCAACGGAACGTAAAGAGAACAATGGAAAGAGAAGAAAGCCCAACACCTAGAGATCGATGTAACGGGGCTAATGAAAGAGCAACAAACCTGGCACAGCGGTAGAAACATTTCGCCGATAGAGTCGTCTCTCGAGAATCGGTCGTAGTCGAATACGTGTAAATGCAACACTCTACTCTGCAACTTCTGAATCGGAAAACCTACAAGGAACGAATCTCGAATAAGCGGTGCGAAGAAGGGTCGCGGCAGGTTGAGAGGTGCGGAGGACGGTTTTCTTTACCTTCGAAATAGAAGGTTTCGTTCCAACGAGGATTGAGCGTGCGCCTCTTTATTTTCGTCTCGAGTCGATTCTTCTTGTCCGGCAAGAGGGTGACGCGAACGTAAGGGTCCGAGGTTCCGGATAAATCCTTGGCCGGCAAATCTTTCCCCTGCAACGTAACGAGAATCTCTGGTTATTCCGTGCGATCGTTTCGGGTCTGCGTCTACCGTTGATTGCTTGTTCTCTTTGCTCAGACTTGCCGAGTGCACGGACACAGCGTTCGCCGTGCGTTCGCCGTGCGTTCGCCGTGCGTTCGCCGTGCGTTCGCCGTGCGTTCGCCGTGAGTTCGACATGCCGTACGGTTAAGCAAGCAAACAAGTTTCAAGCGTAACGGAACTAAAAGCGACTCTAACTTGTATAATACGGAGAATAAGCGTCGTATTTTGAAAATCGTATTCCAGGCTGAAATGAATTTGCCCGACGTTTTCGCTTGGCTCCGAGTTGTCGATGTACATATCGACCAACGACATGGATCTGTTTTGCAGGAACGCTTTCTGGAAAAGAAAAGAAACGCACGATCGTTAGGCCTGGACTCGGACGTCTCCCCCGGCCGTCGCGCATCCGTTGTGACTGGCTATGCGATATTCGGATGCGGGACCGGAGAACGGATCGGACAAGTAGAAACCGAGAAAAGTAGAGAAACGGAGAAAGAGAATGCCAAGAGTATGCTAGGGAAGACTGGAACGAACCGAGGGGTGGTCTCCTTTGACGTTCTGCAGCTGTTTGTTCTGCGGCCCCGCGGTCGGCGTGCGAGGCTCGGCCGACCCAGCGACCATGCCGGCGGACACCGGGTTTCCACCGGGCCCTATGCCACTGGAGCTCGCGTTCGCGCTCCCAATGCCGGATCCCGAGCCCGCGCCAGCACCCGAGCCCGAACTCGATCCCGCGGCCAAACCCGAGCTGGACGCAGCGCTTGACCCGGACGCACCGCCGGATCCGCCACCGGCCGAAATCCCCGAGTTCCCCGAGGCT